TTCAGGCGGATTGAATGCAATTCAGAAAATTGGCAGGGGATTGGAAGTTTAGCCGGGGTAAGAATTGCGCAAAGGCACATCAAAGCACCTAACATTTAACTTCATGTACAAGAATAGGGACAAAAGCTTGCAAGTCACCCACCCATCATAACAAAAATCCCAAGTTAAGACCCTCAGGGAACTAGGCACTCACTGCTGAAGGCATCGTTCTGTTACAGGCTATATTTGCATGGAGGCGGAACCTGTGGCCCTGGAGATATTGTTGGACTCCCATCAGCCTCCAGCCAGAACAGCCAATGGTCAGTGGTGAAGGGAACTGTAGTCCAACTTGAGCTGTAGTCCAACTGAGTGGCTGGGGCAACTCAGTCAGAGGAGCAGGGAACAAGTAATAATTCATCATCATCATCATTATTATTAGGACTTAGGAGGATGCAACCCCATATTACAAGAGAGAGATTTCTGCTTTCGGAGCAGGAGGTCTGAGCAACCAAAACAATATGAGCTTCTAGGCTACAGCAGTTGGCAACAGTTCCCTCCTTTGATGGCTCCATGAAAGCAGCTCATACTAAATTCATCAACAGCAAAGCAGGGCTGGTGGGTGGTGGTGGAGGAGGAGGATGATCTGAAGGTCCAGGAAGTAAATATTTCTTAGGCACACTGGAGTCACCCCTGGCCCACATCCAGAAAACCAAGGGTGGGCCAGAGAGGCTGGATGAGAAGCAAGAGACCCCTTTGGAGGCTGGCCCAGCAATAGGAAGGAGATGGTTGTAGGAGACAGGATAGTTTCCTTCTTGGAAGTTTGGCACAGCTCTCCAGGTCCACCGCACAGCGGAGAGTCATGGAATTGTAGAGTTGGCAGGGACCACAAGGGTCAACCTAGTTGAACCTCCTGCAATGCAGGAATCTTTTGCCCAACCTTGGGTTCAAACCCATGACTCTGGGAGCAAGAGTTTCATGCTATTCCATTGTCGTCCTCTCATCTCTGCTGACCCCTGAAAGGCACCGGAAGAGATTTAGATGTTAGGCTAAGTATTTGTTAGAGCAGGAGTGGCAATCTTGCGGCTCTCCAGATATTTTCTGAACAACCACTCCGACCCATGTTTTCTCACTGGACGTGCTGGACGAGTTTGATGGGGGTTGGAGTGCAAAATCCGGAGAGCCACAGATTTAGCCAATCCCACCGAAGAGCATATTCAGCAGTATTGCACAGGACAGCCTTCTTTGCACAGGTGCCCACCAGATGTACTGAACTACAACTCCCATCTCAGCCCCAGCCAATGTGGGGAGTTGTAGTTCAAAGCATTTGGAAAGCACTAGGTTGGTGAGATAGAGCAAAGCAGGTTACCTGGTTGGTGGTTCCCATTAGTGCCAAGATAAGCTTTTTCACAGTGCAAATAGGAGTGGCAGGGTGTATATCACTTGATCTGGCCAAATCATAGAATCGTAGAGTTGGAAGGGACCCCAGGGTCATCCAATCCAACCCCCTGCAATGCAGGAATCTCAACACGGTCCCCCATCCAATCTGAAACTACACCGGACCCTGCTTAGCTTTCCAAATGCGCTACCAGTTATATTGCTGCACCATTAGGAGGACATGTTTGTCTTAGGAATTATGACCAGTAGGGGAAAGTTAAACTCGCCTTCCCCATAAGAGGCAGCCCCGATTCAGATATATCTATCTATATATTGAAATGCAACATACAGATTACTGAAATATAGAATTGTAGAATTGTAGAGTTGGAAAGGACCAACCTCTGTTGGAAAACCTTCACGGAAGGAGAGTCCACCACCTTCCAAGGGAGTCCATTCTACTGTCAAACAGCTCTTACTATCAGGAAGGTCTTCCTAATGTTTACTCGGAACCTCTTATGTAGCACAAAACTTTGTAACAGAATAGATTTTCTTTATGTGCAGCTATTTAAACAGCAGACCTTGGAGACGAGTTCAAATCCCACATTAGGCACAAATTAAGGGAGAGGCCTTCCGTCCAGTCTGCAAAGTGGGATACCGAACAGGGACTGCTTAAAAAATAATAATACATAAACACATTGCAGCAAATTTCAGTATAATTTTGGCTGACTCTCCTTATTACTCATGGCTGAGTAATGCCACTGCATAACTCTGGTCCGAGCCAAAACTGGGTGCCAATTTCTCGGAGACAAAAGAAGATTTTGACCTTGCAAAGTGGCCGTTTTTTCCCCCCTCCACAGATGAGTTTCTGATCATCCCAGAAGTACAGGCTCCCTCTGCTGCTCAGTGTTGCAAATGCACACAACAGGGTTTTATGACGGCGTTTCTGCACCAGCCATTTACAGTGGTACCTCGGGTTACATACGCTTCAGGTTACAGACTCCGCTAACCCATAAATAGTGCTTCAGGTTAAGAACTTTGCTTCAGGATAAGAGCAGAAATCATGCTCCGGCGGCGCGGCAGCAGCAGGAGGCCCCATTAGCTAAAGTGGTGCTTCAGGTTAAGAACAGTTTCAGGTTAAGAACGGACCTCTGGAACGAATTAAGTACTTAACCCGAGGTACCACTGTATAGCACAATGAATGCACATTTGTTACTCACGCTCCTCTTCCTTCAAGGCGGAGAGTCTGCCATCGGCGGCATCCCATTTTATGAACACGGGAATGTAGTTTATCTAGCTTAGTATTAGCCACACAGACCGACAACTTGCCCACAAACTTGGTAGGGTTCTCTCCCAGCCCTAGCTGGAAATGTTGGGAATTAGGATCATAGAACTGTAGAGTTGGAAGGGACCACGAGAGTCATCTAGTCCAACCTCCAGGGATCTTCTGCAAGCAACGCAGACACTCCAACACAGAACTATGACCTTTTCCTGATTTTGCAAGGTCATGCGCTGCATAATTTTTTCCGGAAAAATGCAGCTCCTCTCCTCAATTGCTCCCCACTTGCCATTGCTGCATGAGAAATGGCTGGATCATGTCTTTGGCATCAACAGTGTTGGCCCTTGCCTTTAAAGAAGGCAGGCGGAAACTTATGGACTGCCATGTGCTGCTGTACTACAACTCCCATCAGCCCCGGCAAGCATGGCCAACAGCCAAGGGTGATGGAGGTTATAGATCAGCAACATCTGGAGGGACAAGGATTCCCCACAGCTGCCTAAAAGGCTTGGGACCCAAATACCTGAGCAAGCATCTTCCCGTACCTGTGTTACAACATCTGTTGTTGGGGCCCTTCTCCAGGGGCTTCGATTATCAGAGGTGCACCACTCAACTGTAGGAGAAAGGGCTTTCCTTGTCATAAGCAGGGAGCCACCACCGAGAAGGCCCACCCTCCGCACCTCCCTTGGGCAGGGCACACAGAGAAGGGCCTCCTTTAGAGCTAATATTCCTGCATTCCAGGGGGTTGGACTACAATTCTATGATTCTATGAAAGCGCAGGTGAGCGACCAGAATGATATGACCTCATTTAGGCGCTATGGGAGTTTCAGAGCTCCCGTCCAGGCTCCTTAGCTTAAATCCACACGTTGCACCTAGCAGCACTTCAAAGTTATTTTAAGCATTTTTTTCCAGCAACTGCAGTGCAGAAAGCTCTTCTCCATTTCTACAAGCAGTTTGGAGGCTTGGCACAATAGCGGGTGATGAGGTAAGGTATTTGGGGTTGGGGGGGGAAATGGTTGTACATTTAAGAAGACAGTTTCCATTTGGCAGACCTGTGCCAACGCCAACCCCTTCTTGGAATGACTTTTATAAGGGCATGTAGACAATTAATTCAGGGATGTTTCAGCATCAGGTGGGAGGGAGCACGTTTCACTAAGCAGCAATCCTATAAACCAGGGGTGGGGAGACTTTGGCGTTCCAGAATATTGCTGAACTGCAACTCCCATAATACCTGGCCATTCTGCATGCTTGTGGGGGGGGGGTCAGCAACCCCCTGCAGAGCCAAAAGTTCCCTACACCTGCTATATAGTATTACCTGTTTCGGCAGATGGAGTGCTATCTAGAGAAAGCTGATCAAGCCACAGTGATACTCAATGACTTGTTTGCGTCCATGTTAGATTACTGTAATGTGGGGCTACCTTGGAAAACAGCCCAGAAACTGCAACAGATGCAGAAAGTGGCAGCAAGACACTCAGACCATGCAATACCTAATTTGCATCATATCCAGTCTGTTACTACAGCTGGTTTTGGCCTTTAAAGACCAGAAGGGTTTGGGATGACGTTATCAGAAGGAACACCTATGTGGGTTATGAGCTTTCTGAGGCTTTAACATCAGAGACCTTGCTCTCTGGCCTGCCAGTGGGAGCCTGTAGGTTAGGACATATGAGGGACAGGACTTTCTCGGTGGTGGCCCCACACCTTGGGAATCCCGCCGCTTCCACCCCAGCTATGTGTGACTGGCTGTGACTTGCAGCAGGGACAATTAATCGCTTCTGTTTCGTGTATTTTGCAATAGCTGTTTTCATGTCTTAGAGACTTGTGAGAACAGTGTCCCTTGAAAGGTGTGTTAAAAATCTGCTGAGCAAATCATGCACGCACATTTACCTGTGAGTTAAGTCTCATGGAACTCCTTCCAATTAAGAATTGCACTGCAAGGCCACGATCCTAATACACACTGACCTGGGGGTAAAAGGGATGCAAACTCAACCAGACTTATTTCTGGGTGCATGATCGTATTGCGGTGTCAACACGCCTTATTTCCAGTTCGGCAGGTATAAAAATCGCGCACCTAGCGCGATGCAGTTCCTTCAACAACATGAAGATGGCATGAGCGGGAGAGTTCTCCCTGCCGCATTTCTGCCTGCCGTGCAACTCGTTAAAAAGTCAAGAGGAGAAGGAGATTGGTGGGGAAACCAATCGCAAAATGGGCATCTCCGACATCAGCCAATGAGGCGGCAGAGAAGCACAGGCCCCGCCCCAGTGAGGGCGGAAGCGCCGCGCAGGCGTCAACCGTTGAGGTACGCCCGGCCCCGTTCCTTCATCTGCCCGCAGCCAAGATGGCGCCAGGGCCGTGCTCTGCCGCGGGAACAGGGGGCGGGGCCAGCGGGCTTTTCGGCGGGAAGCGAACATGGCGGCGGTTGCCATGGAGGTGGCCGGGCCTGAGAAGCCTCTGCAAGAGGAGAAGCCGCGGGGAGGCGCCGCCGCCTCTTCCTCCGCGGGGAGCAGCACTTATGAATTGCCCTGGTGAGAAAGAGAAATGAGACCCCCCCCCAAAAAAAAGAGAGTTGCAGGGAGCCCCATAATAATGTAATAATGGCAGCTGGAGGGGAGCAGCATTGTCCGGGGCGGGGGGAGTTCAAACAGAAGAACATAAAGCTTTTTAGAAGGATATTACCTGGGGGACATAAAGATTGATTGATTGGAGGGAGTCAGGGACCATCGTTTGGGGGCTGTAAGGCTTGTTTTGGGGAGCACATATATTTAGCTCTTGGGGGGCATATATTTGGCATGCAAGTAGCTGGAGGGGTATCGTTTTGGGGTGGCCATAGTGTGTTGGTCGGGGAGCATATAACTGGTTGGAGCAGCGTTGCTGAGAGGGGGTTAGAATTATAGGTGTTTTTGGGGGGCAGGTATAAAGTTCATAGAGTTGGAAGGAAGGGACCCCAGGCTCATCTAGTCCAACCCCTTGCAGTGCAGGGATCTCAACTAAAGTTTTTGGTGTGCCCTGGCATGGGGTAACTTCTCCAAACTGCTTCACACATGAATGTGCACCCTGCTCAGAAACTGGGGGAGAGGGAGGAAGCTCCTTGTGAGATGGAGAAGGGATTTGTAGCGTTGTCAATGCGCATGGAGGCAAAGGAACGTGCTTGCGCTTTTGCAGGTGTACGCTTGCATGCCCTGCTCGGAAGGCTTCCAGGAAAGCTATGGCATCCACCAGGCCATAGTCATTGCTATCCAAACAACTGATGCCCGTGCTTTAATTCATACTAAGCTGAAAGCATTTCCCCTTTTAAGAAATCTTCACTAAGCCTTCACTTTGAGACTTACTCCTCAGTTGGGTTTGTTTTCTTCTGGTCTTTTATACGAGGGAGAGGCTTAATGTGTCTCATGAGATTTTTTGACACAGGGTTGAAAAATACAGACCTGTAAAGCTGTCTGAAATTGTTGGGAATGAAGACACCGTCAGCAGACTGGAGGTATGAGACAGCTTTGCTGTAACAAAGACCCTACTTTTGAGTTTCTGTGAGTGAGCTTACTCAGGAGTGTAGTTTAAGTCTGTCTTGTAAATAAACCCCCCAAAGCCTACAGAGGTTTTGCTTCCTGCCCCCCCCCAACCTGCTGGGTGCTGGCAGATAAGGGAATACCCCTACTCTAGCAATTAAGTTGTTTAAGAACATAAGACTTGCTAGATCAGGCCAATGGCCCATCATTCATAACATATCCATTTTTATCTATTTCCCAGTTACCTAGTCATCCTCTTTTCTCTCTCTCCCTCCCCAGGTCTTTGCGAGGGAAGGAAATGTCCCAAATATTATTATCGCAGTGAGTATCGATCAGATCAATGGAATGCCTTCTTGCAGATCTTCCCAATTGAAGATTTAATCTCAAACCCGAGGAAGGCTTAAAAATAGAGTCATTACGGACTATCCAACATGGGTCACACCCAGAGTAGACTCATTGAAATTAATGGAAATGGCTAACTTAGGCTCATTAATTGCAATAGGTTTACTCCGAATAGAAGTTAGTTGGGTGAAGGCCACTGGCAGTTACAAAAACAGCTGCAATGAAGACAGGGTTGGTGTTGCTGTCCTGGGCCATAATGTACTGTTGCAAATATATATATATATATATATATATATATATATATATATATATATGCTTTCGTAGATTTTCACGGGTACAGGAATGCAGGTTTTGGTGTCCTCGGGTGTCTTCCCGTGTAAAAGTTGGGGTGTCTAGGCGACGTTTCGACGAGGTCTCACTCAGAGACCTCAGATATGTTGACGACACCTTTGTAATTTGGCCACACGGGAAGGAAAAACTAGATAGCTTCCTCACACATCTCAACAGCCTACACCCCAAAATACAATTCACTATGGAAATAGAAGCCAACAACCAACTTCCCTTCCTTGACGTCCTAATCTACAAAAAACCTGATGGCTCCCTAGGACACACTATCTACCGAAAAAAACACACACCAACCGCTACTTACATGCACAATCACACCACCACCCTGCACAAATAAACTCCGTAGCCAAGACTCTCATCTCCAGAACCAAACGCCTGGCTGACAAAGACCACTTGACAACTGAGTTACAGAATCTCTCCAATGTGTTAATCGCCAATGGATACCAGCAAAACAGGGTTACGAAGCTAATGCAAAAAGAAACACCCCCCAAAAACCAAGACACAGAAGAAAACAATGGCATGGCCCTCCTTCCTTATATCAAGGGCACTACAGATAAAATTAGCAAAATCCTCCATAAACACAATATCAAAACAGCCTTTTGCACCAACCAAAAAATAGCCAATATCCTCAGAAACCCCAAGGATAAAATCCAGTTGGAAAACCAAGGGGTCTATGAAATACCCTGCAAAGTCTGCCCAGCCACGTACATTGGACAAACAAACAGACGAATAAATGCACGTATCGCAGAACACAAGAATGCCGTCAAAAAAGAAGAAAAAACTTCCTCTCTTTTCCAACACATGAAAGAAACAGGACACGAAATTAATTTTGCAGATTCCAAATTGCTCTCTAACATGGAACATCACCACAAGAGAATAATCATGGAAGCCATCGAGATAGAGAAACACCCTCACAACATGAACAAGCGTGACGACACATCCCGCCTGCCAGACATCTGGAAATTAGCCCTCCCCACAAAAACCGACACCAGATCCAGAGGCACACAGAACGCCATCACCAATCAACCACACCAGACCCAAACCCAGACCCTCTCCACAGATAAATTACAGACACCATCCAGTAGCCAAACCATGGTGGCACCTCCGGATGCTGCACCCCCCTGCAATCCCTACACAGATCTGGCTGGCACAGGACACAAAACCACAGCTCGCCCCTATACACGAAGCCAAGCCAGAGCACAACTAATTGCAGTACAGCCATCTTCTCAGAAAAACTCTTCACAAAGTTCAAGAGGTCAAGACACGAAGGCTTTAGCAACTAATCCACACCTAATGACCCACCTAAGTGGTACTCAGGATATCACTCAAGAAATCACTCAAGATATCCCTCAAGTAATTAAGGAACAAAAGAAGAAAAGGCACACTAACCTGGGAACTTCCTCTCTGCCCAGAACATTGGAGGCTATACACCACACCCCCTCAACAGTATTTATAGGAACTCAAACACTGAGATCCTGCTCTGTTCCAGTAACAAGAAGCCGAAAGCACCAGCCTGAAGATGACGAGTGAGACCTCGTCGAAACGTCGCCTAGACACCCCAACTTTTACACGGGAAGACACCCGAGGACACCAAAACCTGCATATATATATATATATATATATATATATATATATATATATATAAAATAAAATCCTGCCTTGCAATTCTGAGACCTTACAAGCCAGTTTACAACCAATCATGGTTTTGTGGCCTGGGTTCTGAGCATCTAAGAGTGGGGTGGGAGTTCTCTCTAAAGCAGCAGATAATCAGAATGCCCTCTGTGGACAGTATTGGACTACCTATCAATATCTTGCATTCTGTTCTCATCTCTGATAGGAAACCCCCTGTATGCTTAGATTACCTGTTAATCATCATCATCATCTTAAGATAATCAGTTGATGCCCTTCTTTCTGCTGGAGGTGAAGCCTGTGATACTTAAGGGACAGTGGAAGATTATGGAATGCCCAACCTGGGGAGGCTAATAATTGTAATTTTATTATTTGTACCCTGTCCATCTGACTGGGTTTTCCCAGCCACTCTGGGAGGCTTCCAACAGATATAAGAACACAATAAAACTTCAGACATTAAAAACGTCCCTATACAGAGCTGCCTTCAGATGTCTTCTAAAAGTTGTATAGTTATTTATCTCCTTGACATCTGATAGGAGGCTGTTCCACAGGGCATGTTACTAATTTTTAGGTGCTCTGCATTGTATTTGCCTCTGTATTTTACACGTCATGAGCATTTTTATACTCCACTGACCCTTATTAGCTGGCTTCTTTTATTGTGATCTTTGTATTTTATTTTAAATGTGCAAACCAACCTGGGGATTTCTTTATATGAAAGGTGATGATATACAAATGTTTTAAATCTTGTAATTCCTAAAGGTCAGGTTGTTTTGAATATGAGTGAGTGTGAGAGAGAAAGAGAGAGAGAAAGAGTTGGCTAAATCTTTGGGCAATCTTTCTTGTGTTGGAAGGGTCCTCCAGGAACTGGGAAAACCACCAGCATCCTCTGTCTGGCACGTGCCCTACTGGGGCCTGCATTGAAAGAAGCTGTCCTGGAGCTGAATGCGTCAAATGACAGGCAAGTCCAAAAGGATTCCAGTGGGAATTGGGTCATGCCTGGCTTTGCCATGAAGCAACACAAAGTTGTTGGCAGATTCCAGAGGAAGTGCTGTCTCTGTGTCCTCAATCATCTCTGTGTGCTGTTGGTTTTGTTTTTGTTTTTTTAAGGCTCTGGTCCAGTGTGTATTTGTGTAATTCTGACATGATTTCCCCTCCTTCACCCTACACTGCTGCTTCCTCGAAGCCTTGCCCAAAGGTATTTTGGATTTCTGAGTAAACCCCGCAGCAGGCTTTCGGGCCCTTGTCCACCTTGGCGGGCCTCCTTAGTTGAAAACAAATCTAAGGGTTGCATCCACTGTTCCAGTTGTGCACGGACTTGTGCAACAGAACTTCCCCCCCCCCCCCCAGTGCCTTATTGATTTCTTTGGAGCCGTAACTTTTCTGCACCAAAAACTGAAAGGAGATGGCATTTTTCTCATTTCTTTTTTTTAAGAAAATATTTCCTCCCCCATAAAACCTGCTGTCTGTGACCCACAATTAAATAACAATTGGACCTTCTTCTTTCAGAGGCATTGATGTTGTGAGGAACAAAATCAAGATGTTTGCTCAGCAGAAGGTGACGCTTCCAAAAGGCCGGCATAAAATCATCATATTGGATGAAGCTGACAGGTACACGAATCTTTCTTCTAAACCAGGTGTGAGGAACCTTTGGCACTCAGATGTTGCTGAACTGTGACTCCCGTCAGCCTGAGCAGGCCTGACCAGCAGGTGTTGTATTTCGGCAGCATCTGGAGGGCCAAAGATTGCCCACAACTGTTCCAAACCTCTGCACCACATTTGACTCTCTTTGCCTAAGTTCTCTTGTGTTTCAAGGGCTGCCTGTCTCTCCGAGTCATGAGAAAGATCAGCGCCTCTTATCTCACAGTGCTGAAATAACTTGAGAGAACCATGCCGCCACTCCTCCCCTTCTCACACTGTTGTGTTGCTTGGCACCAACTTGCACTCTGCTGAAGCATCACAACATATTCTAGTTGAGGTTTCATCCCTGTTCAAGAGGCATTGTGGGGAACAGTAGCAGCAAACAGCAGGCTCAAAGGGTTATTTACTTGTCTCACATCCCATATCCTAAGGGCAAGCTTATTCTCAGAGTGCTTATATGGCATGATCCGCACACAGGAGGGAGGTATCAGCAGGCTTGGGGAACCCCAGAGTTTCCAAAACGAGAGAGAGACCCTAACCAGGGGAAATCCCAAAACTTCTGGTGAGGTCTGAACATAGCAAGTGGCTTGAAATTCTGACTTACTGCCAGGGAACAGGCATTGTTTATGAGCTGGGTGTCTGGAGGAATGAAAGATTATACCATAGAAGAGAACAGGAAAAGATTTTAGGGGAAGCTCCTGTGTTGCATAAACAATTTGAATTTCATTGCTACAATCTCTGATAGATACTGTAGATAGAAACTGCAATTAATCCAGAATACAGTTGCCAGACTGGTGACTGGGAACAGCTGCCAAGACCATATAACACCAGTTCTGAAAGACCTACATTGGCTCCTAGTACATTTCGAAGCACAATTCAAAGTGCTGGTGCTGACCTTTAAAGCCCTAAACAGCCTCGGGCCTGTTTACCTGAAGGAGCGTCCCCACCCCCACCATCCAGCCCAGACACTGAGATCCTGCTCTGAGGGCCTTCTGGTGGTTCCCTCCCTGCGAGAAGTGAAGTTACAGGGAATTAGGCAGAGGGCCTTCCCGGTAGTGGCACCCACCCTATGGAACACTCTACCATCAGATGTCAAAGAGCTAAACCATTACATGAGTTTCCGTACACATCTGAAGGTGTATCAGGAACTTTTTAATGTCTGATGTTTCGCTGTGTTATGTTATAATCTAATGGAAGCTGTCCAGAGTGGCTAGGAAAACCCAGTCAGATGGGCGGGGTTCAAGTAATCTATTATTATCACCATTATTATTATTATTATTAATTACAAAACTGAGACATTTTGGCAAGCTTTTGTGACTTAAATTATCTTACGTTTCTCCCCACATCCCCAACTAGCATGACGGATGGAGCCCAGCAAGCCCTGAGACGGACGATGGAAATTTATTCCAAAACAACTCGCTTTGCTCTTGCTTGCAATGCTTCCGATAAAATCATAGGTAAGAGCTTTCAGCCACTTGGGGTAGGTGGCATAGATCTCTTTCCGTAGTTCACACCACATGCTGCCTCCCCTCTTTTGTGCAGCTCTTCATAGTGTAGAAGCTAAGACAGAATCAGGAAGTTAGTTCACATCTCACCTTGGGTGTGAACTCACTCAGATACCTTAGGCAAACCACACACACTCTCTGCCTTGGCCCTCTTAACCTGCTATATGTGCATAATCATGTTGACCTGATCTGCGGATAGGGCTGGGAATTCGCCTTCATAAGTGCAGTGGCGGAGGACGGGGGGTGCGGGCCACCCAGGTGTCATCACTGAGGGGGGTGACAAAATGACAAAAATATGAGTTTTAAAATAATAAATAATAATAATAATAATAATAATAATAATAATAATAATAATAGGGCTCACGAAACTTTTTAGTTCAGTCAACAAACATAACAAAATACGGCTGGCACTGGGCGCCGCACCACGGGGACCGGCACTTACCGCAGGGCCTGCAGTGTGCCCGAACCACGCGTCTCTCCTGGGAGTGACATGGTGGCTTGGGCGCCTGCAGGCTCCCCGCTGCCTGAAACAGCAGCGTGGGACTTGCATCTGCCCTCCACCTCTCCCTCAATCGGCCTACAGCTGAGGGGGAGGCGACGGAGAGGCTCCACGCAGTGTGTCCCACCCCCATGGGAGGCTTCCCCTGCCCCCGGCTGAAGGACGCATGCGCCGCACCCGGCACCTGAGCGGCTAGTTACGCCGCTGCACAAGTGCCACTGTGACCAGTGGTTCCCGCAAAGCCTTTTCCCATGCATTTTGATCTCAGGCCATGTGGGCAAAAGAAAACAGCTCATCCAACAGCATTGTGATGTCAGGTGATCGACAGGTGGCTGGCTGCATCCCACCTGTTAAACTTGACCTGCCTGGGTAGGCAGGTAAGGATGGAGTCTCCTGGCCAGATTCTGTTCCCTACCACTGGTGTGGGTGAACCTGCAGTCTGGTTGTTTTAAGGAAGTTTCCTAGGCTCCTGAAAGGCAGGATCTCACCTGTCCTTTCTCCCTCTGTCTGAACCCCACCAGAACCCATCCAGTCTCGCTGTGCGGTGCTCCGCTACACCAAGCTGACGGACGCTCAAATCCTTGCCAGGCTGATGAAAATTGTCGAGAAGGAGAACGTGCAATATACAGACGATGGGCTAGAAGCCATTATCTTCACGGCCCAGGGGGACATGAGGCAGGTGAGCAAGGAATCGAAACCATCCTTCCACAGCTTTTCTGTTTCATGTTATTAACTAAGCAGTGTGGCTTTGCAGCTGTCAGTTTCCGAGGCCCCACGGTTCGAGGAAACCTAGCTCCGGCCATAGCCGGGGGGAGCAGACATTCTGCAGAGAGCTTGTGGTCTCCGCTGCAGACAGGGTAGTGCAGCTGGGCTTGCGATGTTGCCAAAACCACAGAGAGAACTCCTTGTTGCCAAAAAGCAACTGATCTAAACCTCTGTGACTTTTATGTCAGCTCCACTCTAAAGTGGGGGGGTGCAATGGGGAACTCCAAGCCTCAGAATCCAAACTGCAGAGGTCCTTCTCAGGCCACACCCCCTGATGACACACGAGCTGCTGCACCCCACAAGTGGCTTCCTGAGCTTCTGCATTTTCTCTGCCTGTCATCCTTTGGCATCTCTTGGAGGGCGAGGAGAACGAGAGACCAGAGGCAGGCTGGCAGACAGGGAAGTTCAGTGAGCCAGTCGTGGAGTGCAGCAACCCTTGCTAGCTCCCTTGTCAGCCCACTCTCTTCTACCATTGGCAGCTTGCTGCATTTCCATGCACACAGAGTGGAAGCCAAGCTCTGTGTGCGCATGTGAGCACACACACACACTTTGGCCCCACCTACCACCAGTATGTGGACCCTGGCTGCTTCTGCCAAGGGACTGGGACTTCAATGTTCCGTGAGCAATGGATGGCTCTTGCACAGGGTCACAACTTCAATCCAGCTATCCCATTCTGATTAGCAAATGGAGCATGGGTGGAACTTGCAGCCAAATCTCTGCAGAAAGATCCAGAAGGCATTGCTGGCCAAAACCCATGCTATAAAGAAGGGGAGTCCATCAGGCCAACTCTCACATGAGCAGAGAGCTGGTGTATTGTGAAAAAAGGAAAAAGTCTGCTTGGCTTGACCCTGCACACAACTGCAGTTTGCTTTCAGGAGAGCCAAACTTTATATACTTCAGGAACACACCAGCCTTTCGTTCTGCCAGACAAAGAGTACTGAATAACTTGGAAGATCTCCATCACTTAAGTTCATTTTTTTAAAACTCTCTTTTCGAAACAGGCGCTGAACAACTTGCAGTCTACCCATTCTGGATTTGGCTTTGTCAACAGTGAGAACGTATTCAAGGTCAGCAAAAGCGTTTTCTCCTTCTCTCTTTAGCCTGACCAGATGCAAAGGAGAGTCTGCGGGGCTCCTGTATTTTTCAGGACCTGCATAGAAGAGAGGACAGGGTATAGGTGGTCCTGTGGCTTTTCCAGGGCCAGAGGGACTTGTGCAGTTCAGAAGCTTGCTTGGAATGCCTTCTTGCCCGGTTGGTTTATTCTCAAGTCATTGAACCTCTCTGTTGGCTAGCTGGATTCTTCTTTCCACAGGTGTGTGATGAGCCCCACCCTTTGCTGGTGAAGGAGATGATTGGCCACTGCATCAGCGCCAATATCGATGAAGCATACAAGGTGAGTTCAAGGGAAGCGTTCAAGCTCTTGCCACCCCACCCTATGGATGTATCGTATTCTGGGCAGCCATGACACAGAGCCAGTCGAGAGAGCAGTAGTCATGGATTGAGATTCTGCCTCTACTTCTGTTTTTGCACATTTGCTGATTATATTGCTTTTAATCTATATCATCAAACTGCTGCTAAGAGATGAGGATAAAAAATATGTTAGAGATATGTATTTTTAAAAAAACTTGACTCGTACTCCTTCCTGTTCCAGATCCTGTCACACTTGTGGAGGCTTGGCTATTCTGCTGAAGACATCATCGGTAACATCTTCAGAGTGTGTAAAACCTACCAGATGGCCGAGTATTTGAAGCTGGAGTTCATCAAGGTTGGTTCTGCCGCTGTAAGCTATAGCATTGAGGTGTCCAGCCATGTGATTGAGGGAGGAATCTGCTTAGCACTTGCATGTTCGTGGCTCAATTTCTGCACACGACCTTATGGAAGGTGTGAGCATAGTGGACAAAGAAGGCTTTCTCCCTCGTTCATAACACCGGAGAACTTGCAGACATCCTGTGAAGCGTTGGAGCATTGGAAGATTTAGTACAGACCTGTGTTTCCTGCTGTTTTTGGACTACAACTCCCATAATTCCTAGCTAGCAAGACCAGTGACCAGGGATGATGGGAATTGTAGTCCAAAACAGCTGGAAACCCAAGTTTGGGAAACGCTGGTATAGACAAAAGAAAGTACTTCATGCAGCACATAGTTAAATGATGGGATTTTCTGCAACCAAGTGGCAATGGAGGACACCACCTTGGGTTGCTTTAAAAGACAAATTCATGGAAGATAAGGCTGTCAGGATGCCTCTGAATACCAGTTAATAGGAATTGCAGGTGGGGAGAGTGCTGCTGACCTCGGGTCCCGATTGTGGGTTTCCCACAGGCATCTGGGTGGCCACCTTGAGAACAGGCTGCTGGTCGAGATGGACCATTGGCTTGAACCAGCAGGCTCATCTCACGTTCTTACCTGGGATAACCTCATCACACATGCACATGCAGAGACTTGCTTCTCTAAGGCTGTCCCCGCAGCAGACCATGCAGATACTCAGTGCAATCCTCTCTGAAATAAGCGGAATGAACATCTCAGATTTATATCACAAACAGTAAATTGGGCAGCTTGACCGAGATGCTCTTATTTGGCATCAGGGACGTGGGTTAAACCACAGAGCCTAGGGCTTGCCGATCAGAAAGTTGGCGGTTCGAATCCCCGCGATGAGGTGAGCTCCGTTGATCGGTCCCTGCTCCTGCCAACCTAGCAGTTCGAAAGCATGTCAAAGTGCAAGTAGATAAATAGGTGGGAAGGTAAATGGCGTTTCCGTGCACTGCTCTGGTTCGCCAGAAGCGGCTTAGTCATGCTGGCCCTGAAGCTGTACCCCGGCTCCCTCGGCCAATAAAGCGAGATGAGTGCCGCAACCCCAGAGTCGGCCATGACTGGACCTAGTGGTCAGGGGTCCCTTTACCTTTACCTAGTGCAGAGATACAAAAGTTAATCAGGAAACCGAAACTGCCTCCCTCCCCTCCCAGCTTCCAAGATGTCCACAGGCATTTCCTCACACTCTTGTAAGATCTTTCCACCAGGAGGGCTAAAAGCCTTTTTTATTTTTCCCTTAATGAATGTGGAGGTTCTCAGGAAGCTGTGTCCTTTTCCAGCTGCAAAAAAAAAGGCCCTTGATCTTGAGGTCTTGGTTTAAGGATACGTGTGAGCCCAGAGGTGCTCTTTCAACCATAGTTCCTTGCATGTGTCTCAGAGTTCTGCGTTTTCTCTCAGCAGAGGAAAAAAGGCAGACTAGCTGGATCTTAAATGTATTTTTGTATGGTTAGGAAATCGGCTATACACACATGAAGATAGCGGAAGGAGTCAACTCGCTCTTACAGATGGCAGGACTGCTAGCCCGGCTTTGTCAGAAGACAGCGGTTCCTACAGCGAGCTGAAGCCATGGATGAGAGATGGACCTTGTGAGGAGGGGAAACTGCAAGTGAACCAACCTGTTTGTATAAGAGGTGTGGGCATTTGGAGTTGCACTTGGTGATTTGGATACAGTTGTCAAAAATGTTTGTGTGAACACATGTGAGTTGTAGGGATTTTTTTTTTTAACCACTTCAGACCGAAATAAAGTTTGATATAAAGCTGAAGACCTCTCATTTCGCTGTATTGATAAGATTACCACAATCAGTAAAAGCAGATGCCTTTTAAAATTTTCCCTCACCTGTACAGTGGTACCTCAGGTTACATACGCTTCAGGGTACAGATGCTTCAGGTTACAGACTCCGCTAACCCAGAAATAGTACCTCAGGTTAAGAACTTTGCTTCAGGATGAGAACAGAATCGTGCTCCGGCAGCACAGCGGCAGCGGGAGGCCCCATTAGCTAAAGTGGTGCTTCAGGTTAAGAACAGTTTCAGGTTAAGAACGGACCTCTGGAACGAATTAAGTACGTAACCAGAGGTACCACTGTACTGCTCAGATCTATGGCTGAAGGGTGGTATACAAGTATAATAATGATGTCTTCTTCTTTGGTGATCACTCATAGCCGAATAAGATTGTCTTCCATGAACACAGTGACTGTGGAAGCTGATGATGATACCGTTTTTAAGGACCTGGGTAGCACATCTATCTTCTCATGAAGGATGTTTGCTCAGTTAACCTTCTACATCAGGGTTTCCCAAACTTGGGTCTCTGGCTGTTTTTAGACTGCAATTCCCGTCATCCCTGATCCACTGGTCCTGCTAGCTAGGGATGATGGGAGTTGTAGTCCAAAAACAGCCAGAGACCCAAGTTTGGGAAACACTGTACATAATGCCCTTTTTAAAAAGCACTCAGTGCAGTTGAAGCATCTGCTGATCTTTAGTAGTTGGAGGAATATCTTAACATCGCTCCTGGGAACGGATGTAGACCTGGTGACATAATCCTTTTGTTGTTGTTGTTTTAAATACCCCAAGCAATTTGATATTGTCAGCAAACTTGACTGCTGCCTCGCTGGTCACATCCGGATCATGGAGAACAGGATACAGCTATCCGTTAATTAGGTGATACCACAGTGAAATCAAGGGACGCGGGTGGCGCTGTGGGTAAAAGCCTCAGCGCCTAGGGCTTGCCGATTGAAAGGTCGGCGGTTCGAATCCCCGCGGCGGGGTGCGCTCCCGTTGTTCGGTCCCAGCGCCTGCCAACCTAGCAGTTCGAAAGCACCCCCGGGTGGAAGTAGATAAATAGGGACCACTTACTAGCGGGAAGGTAAATGGCGTTTCCGTGTGCGGCTCTGGCTCGCCAGAGCAGCAATGTCACGCTGGCCACGTGACCCGGAAGTGTCTTCGGACCTCGCTGGCCCCCGGCCTCTAGAGTGAGATGGGCGCACAACCCTAGAGTCTGTCAAGACTGGCCCATACGGGCAGGGGTACCTTTACCTTTACCTTACAGTGAAATCAGATGCCCCAAAGGAACATTTTTCCTTTGTTGGAACAGTTTGACCCATGCCTGCAGAGGGAAGATCCTTCTGCATTGAATACAATACAGTGGTTAAATGGGGGGAAATTGCATGGCAGTCAAGCTCATTGACTCAGAGGTCCCCCATCTTTGTCTGCTCTGGACCATTCATGGACAAGTTAAAAAACACAGGTCCCAATGGCAATCATCAGTTGACACCACTTCCTACAGCCCTCCATTGGGAGAACAGCTTCTATCTTCATCTTGTTGCTTAACTAGCTTACTGAGCCATAAGAAGCCCTGTCTTTTTACCCTATAACTGCTGAACGTGCACTTTGTAGACCACAGGGGCCTCGGAAAAGATATAGACCACACTAAGCTGAAGTCTCTCTCTTTCTTTCACAAGAGAGCCACCCACTCGTTCTTCTGCTAAACAATAAATGTTGAACTTGCATTGCAAGCTAAAACAAACGCAGCTACAATTAACTCACCGGAGGAAAGCGAAGATGTTTTCATGGGGCGAACTACAGAACTGTGCTACCAGTCTGTGCAGATACAACACTCAGAAGAATTATTTTTTATCCCCACTTGAAGAACTAGGGCACGAAACCGTATTTTCACCAATCAGTAGCTAATGGTTGTCCATGCCTTGTATTGGCCGAGGGAATAAAGATGTATTGGGATCTGTTGCAAGGCAGAAGGGCAATAATTTCGCTCCCAATTATTCAACCATTGCAGTGCCCACATAAGGCTCCCCCATTCTGGGGGGCTTTCAGAATTACACCGTAAACAGCACTGCTCTGGAATAACCTCAACTTCCCAGATGTTGTTGGGACACATTCCCCACCCCAGCAGAACGGTTAAATCTCTTGTTGTGAATTATACACAGGGGTCGCTTGCTTCTTTTATTTTCTAAACTGCTTAGAATACAATAGACTTTGCTCTGGCTAACAGACAGAACAAATAAAGCAAGAAAACGAAATGTAGATTGCCATTTGCTCATACTTCCTTTATGAACAATCTCTCTCCCCCTTAACACACGCATGCACTTTCCAGTGGACTCTTTTTGGAGAGTGGCCTGCCTTGGTGAGGTGCTCATCGCTGAATTTGCTTGAAGTTGAACTGCAAGGCAGGAACCAGCTGCAAGTGGCCAGGTTCCCTGGACTGTAGAATGAATGACTGCCGAAGCTCTCTTCGCCAGCTCTTAGGCAGGAAACCTAAAGGGAAGAGGGTGGATAGATAAGAGGACTCTTTACAACCTCGGTGAGTTTTAGGGGATCTTGTAAGTCGAATCCCCCATTTGATGCATCCCAAATAGATGGCCATCCAGCATGTACTTCAAGACATCCAATAACCAAGAGATCCTCCATCCCTTTTGGGTCATTTTGTCCCATTGTTGAACTTTTATTGCAGTCAAGATGCTGCTTCTGTTGCAAGAGACCCACCCCACTCATTCTTCCTGCGGGCAACTTAAGTAAATCTAGTCCTGCCCTACAGGGCAGCAGCAGAGACCAACCTTCACCGATTGCAACTTTGCAATCATCTTCGCTCAGTATTCTTCTTCAGGCAATTCCTCCAACCTTTCCTGGTCAGACCTTTCCCTCCATTGCCCTGTCCTGAACCTGTTTTAATTGATCTGTACTCTCAAAAGTATGGGCCCCCAAACAGGACACAGTGCTCCAGAAGAGGTGTAGTGGTTAAGAGTGGGGAACCGGGTTCTTGTCCCCGCTCCTCCACCTGCAGCTGCTGGGTGATCTTGGGCCAGTCACACTTCTCTGAAGTCTCTCAGCCCCACTCACCTCACAGAGTGTTTGTTGTGGGGGAGGAAGGGAAAGGAGAATGTTAGCCGCTTTGAGACCCCTTACGGGTTGTGATAAAGCGGGATATCAAAGCCAAACTCTTCTTCTATTGCAGTAAAATTACTACCTATTCTGACTTGGAAACCATGGCTCTAGGAACTCAAAAACGGCATTAGCCTTCCTCACCGCCACATGCTCTGCTTGCAAACAACTGCAATCCTGAGCTCTTGCCTGACATGTTATCATCTCCATCCCTTCCAAGTTCTATGCATCTGGATTTGGCCAGTTGTATGGGGCATCCCCAGGTTTTCCTAGGTTTGAGGCTTTTCCCATTTCTTTTCTCCCTTTTGGGTCTCCTCACCCCAAAACGGGGGACTAAAGGATTGGCTCAGAGCTCAAAAAAAGTTTGAGAAGAAGGATGCGAGAAGCTCAAGTCACTCCAGCCTAGTCTTGTTTACACAGGGTTGGGCAACCTTTTCAGAGCTGAAGGCCTCATTCACTTGGAGGAAAGTGGTCAGGGGCCACCAACCAATGGCGGTGAATCAAAGAAGAAAAGTGAGTGGAACACCCCTTTTCTCTCCCTTATTCAACCATCACCATTTTCTTCCATTTTCTTTTGTGGAACATAGGGGAGGCATCAAAGGAGATGGAGGGCCAGTAGCAGCTGCAGATTGCCAACCTGTGGTCTACTCTGACAGCAGAACAGAAAGGGGAAGAGCCCTGGCTCAGTGGTAAAGCAGCTGCTTTTGATGCTAAAGGTCCCAGGTTCAGTTCCCAGTGGCATCTCCAGGTGGGAGAAACCCTGAACTGCTGCTAGCCAGGGGAGTCTATGGAGCTAGTCAGCCCACTAGGCAGCTTCCTATATAGCTCTCCTGACATCTGAGCTGAACGTCTTTCCTCGGTCCTGTATACCTGAAGGAGCGTCTCCACCCCCATCATTCAGCCCGGACACTGAGATCCAACTCCAGGGGCCTTCTGGCAATTCCCTCCCTGTGAGAAGTAAGGTTATAGGGAACCAGACAGAGTGCCTTCTCGGTAGTGGCGCCCGCCCTGTGCAACTCCCTCCCATCAGATGGCAAGTAAATAAACCACTACCTGACTTTTAGAAGACATCTGAAGGTTTAGGGAAGTTTTAATGTTTAATGCTGTGTTGTGTTTTTAATATTCGATTGGGAGCCGCCCAGAGTGGCTGGGGAAACCCAGCCAGATGGGTGGGGTATAAATGAATTATTATTATTATTATTATTATTATTATTATTATTCCTAATCTTGCTGACAGCAGTCCAGTTCACTCATGCAAGAGGTATGAGGTGACAGAAAAAACTGGACCACTCCAGACTGTAGGGCATGGATAGCATTTTTAAAAAAATGCTCACACTAACAACAACAACAAAAACCCTCCCTGCAACTAAAAAATCAGCACAGCAGGCAAAGGATAGGGCTTGCTAGATTTCTAACTGCAAGGAGTCCCCTTGCCACACTCTATATTAGGCAGGTTTTGCATCTGGGACCTTAGGGGTATAACCACATGCTCTTAACACTGAACCATTGAACAACCTGAGCTGAGGGAGAAGCCATCGAAAGTTCTCAAGCAGACAATGACTGCGTGTAAACTTCCTCTCCATATGTTTTGGACCACAACTCCCACTAGCCTGAGACCACATGTGCTGGCTGGGGCTGATGAAAGCCATAGTTTAAAACATCTGGAGGGGAGCAGCTTGTGGAAGCTTGCTTTACACTCATCTGCCAGAGGCAGGGAGAAAAAGGCAGACACACACATATATAAATTACCTGCAGTTTGGATGTGAATTGATGTAATCTGATTCATCGTCGTCAGAGTCTTCTGGTTTGAGAAAAACATTCCAGGGTTGGTCCAAGACATTTTTGATGTGAAAATATCCGCATGTCTCCCTCCCAATCATGCACTAATTAGCTAGGGGCGTGATCTACCACAACTTCATTCTGCTGAAGTTTATCGTGTTCATCCTAGGAAAACTTCCCAGACATTTGAGTCCTATAGATGCAATAGCTGACTTCAACCATCAAGCTAAACCGTAGTTCAGTACAATGCAAACAAGCCATACAGCAATGAGAAGGAATTCATAAACTTTTAGTTAACCCCAACTTGCCATGTTGCCCAGACCCGAAATGAAGGCTAACACTAACAAAAGTGGTTTAAATGAGCCAGCTTTGGCTTGTTTGAAACAAACAATAAATGCTAACCATGGTTGGGTCTAGACAACATAAAACCATGGTTAGCCCAAAGTGGAAGCTTCTGAACTCCTTGCACTTGTGTGGAAGGAAGAGGGAAGGGGCATCGCCAAGGACTCAGGGCACAGGGACAAATTTGCCTAAAATTTGCATGTACTAATTTAAATGCACAGATGCAAATTTAGTTCATCTTTCAGAAGGGGAAAAACAAAAATCTGGCTTTTGCTATCAGGGCTTACTGTTACGGGCTGGTACATCAATGCAATCTGTTCCACAGCTAGAAAGCAGGAAAATGCTTTATGTGCAGAGCAGATAGCTCAAGAAAGTTAGCCAAGTCACACATGACATGCATCATATATTCAAAGAATTGAGATTGTAGATGATTTCTAAGAGAATTTGCAGCCCATAGTTCACCTGCGATCTGCGAGTGCTTCCATATCTGGATCGTTGTGCTGTTTTCATAGACATCCACATCTGCCAAGACTACAGAAAGGAAAAAGAATCCAGTCAGGGGAGGCAGCTGAAATTATTTGATTATTATTATTACTACATAAAATGTCTCGAAGCAACTTACAATTGTAAAAAGAAATGAGCAAAGAAACAAACAAACAACTGCAAGGACTTAAAATGTCAAACAAGATGAAGATTGCCGGATGAGCAAATCTCATCCAGGTCCTATAGGTAACCGGTTAGGCAACTAGGATTCTGGGGGAAAGAAGCAATGGCTGCTCTGAAACAATTGCATTGAAACAATTGCATTGTTTGTTCGCAGGCTTACTTCCAAACTTCTTTTCTCTCAACCCCATCATAGACTCCTCTGTATTTAATGGCTCTGAGTGCCATTCCTTATGTAGCCAAAATGGCACCACTCACATTCTGGAGGGATGTCTCAGCAGACTCGACCCCATGGAAACCCAAAGAGCAGCCCAACGAGGCCTGAGCATGCTCAGTGGCCCACATTCCCCACCACAACTATCCAGTGCTAGCTGGTTATTACAGGGGTACATGTGTAAAACTGGGAGAGGAAGGAGAATGGAGTGTGTGCTGGTGGGCAAGGTCATGTGGTTCGCTTGTGAGGGAACCGCCAGAAGGCCCTCGGCATCCAGGCAGAACAATGGGGATGGAGACGCTCCTTCAGGTATACTGGGCCGAGGCCGTTTAGGGCTTTAAAGGTCAGCACCAACACTTTGAATTGTGCTCGGAAACGTACTGGGAGCCAATGTAGGTCTTTCAAGACCAGTGTTATATGGTCTTGGCGGCCGCTCCCAGTCACCAGTCTAGCTGCCAAATTCTGGATTAGTTGTAGTTTCCGGGTCACCTTCAAAGGTAGCCCCACGTAGAGTGCATTGCAGTAGTCCAAGCGGGAGATAACTAGAGCATGCACCACTCTGGCGAGACAGTCCGTGGGCAGGTAGGGTCTCAGCCTGCGTACCAGATGGAGTTGGTAAACAGCTGCCCTGGACACAGAATTAACCTGCGCCTCCGTGGACAGCTGTGAGTCCAAAATGACTCCCAGGCTGCGCACCTGGTCCTTCGGGGGCACAGTTACCCCATTTAGGACAACAAATCATAATCCTTATTAACAAGGCTGGGCTGATGAAATTATGCCTGGTGTTTTGAAAGTGGAGAGATAAACACCCTAGTAAATAGAATTTACCAAGCCCACTGCTTCTCGATGGGCCAGCCACGTTTTGATAAGAGTAGGCATCTTCATCTGAAAGAGGAAATATTTGAGAATCAACATAGCATAAAAAAGAAGCCTAGTATCGATTAGGTGCTTGGCTGAATGCATATAGGAGGAGGGATGTGGTCGTGTGTCCCCGACCCAGCCCCTGGGTGCGCTGAGGACGGTATCTCCAGGACCCTCCACACATCCAAACTGTACACCCTTCATCTATGTATTCTTGTCTCGTCCACTTACCACTGGATTGCCTTACGAAATTCCCACAGTTGTAATAAATATCTGCAGCGATTGGTTTGCTAGAAGAGGGAAGAAGAGGGAGGGGGGCAGGAAATCCTTATGGAGTCAGAGAGAAGGATTTCCACCCAAAGCTCAATATTTTGGCTACCGAAAAGGCACTGTGACTTGCCCAGGAAGCATTTGCTACGCAGCTCCAACATTTATTTATCACTGGCACCTCCATATGAAATGCCACAAAAAGACTAAAAACACAGTATTACAATAAAGCCGTCAGGCACACCTGCAAGAGCCGGTTGGGAAATAATCTTAGGCCCGAAAGGCCTGTCAGAATAATACAGTTTTTAGAAAAGCGAGCAAGGGTGGCTCCTGGTGAACGTCTATTGGCCAGGAGTTCCACAGGGCACTGTCCTGACATACTAAAGGCTTGGTCCCTGGTACAGGCCAGTTGAAACTCGGGGGCATGTGAGACCAGTAAAGATGGCCTACACTCCTGCATTATTGTGCCTGTTTTCTGAGGTGAAGTGCTAAGAAGAACGTAAGAAGAGGCCAGCATCCTGTTCTCACAGTGGCCAACCAGTTGCCCAAGAGTCCTCTCCTCTCCTGCAGTTTCCAGCTGCTGGTATTCAGAAGCAATAGTGCCTCCAACTGTGGAGGCAGAACAGAACAATCCTGGCTAGCAGCCATTTGTAACCTTCATCTCCATGAATTTGTCTATTCCTCTTGTAAAGCCATCCAAGATGGCGGTGTTGTGAGAGGCGGGAGGCATTGGAAGAGGCCATAGCTGAAATGCTTTCCACCCCAGTGACAACGCCAAGCGATTTGAGACTCTCTGGGCCAAAGAAATACGTTTTTTGATGGACCACTCTTTCCATCTAACCCTAGAAGCCTTCCGAAGGAAGCCGCTTCCAGAAGACCTCATGGGGGGCACAAAAAGATTGTAGGAGCAATTTGATGAATATGCATGTAGGGCAATTTAGGGGCTAGTTTGGGGTGTGAAGCTACTGGATATTTTTTACCAGAGCTTTATGCTCCCTTCTATATTGATGTACATTAAAGGAACTGCTAATTTGGGTCAATTTGTTTTTTTAAACGTTACGCTGCAGTGACATTATACTTTTCATTGTGTACCCTTATGGTACTACTGAATTTAGACTGTGAACCATAGAATCATAGATGTGGAAGAGTTGGAAGGGGTACCTGAGGATCATCCAGTCCAACCCCATGCAATGCAAGTATATGCAGCTGCCCCATAGGGGAGCAACCTTCGCATTATCAGTGCCATGCTCTAACCTTTAATTTGAATTCAGCCTGATCTTTTATTTCCCTTCTCTTCCCTCCCCTCCCCTTTTATGAAGATCACCCGCTCTGAGACCCCACGGCTAATTCTTCCCTGGCCTCCTCTCTGGCCCAAGTAGGACCAATTCAGCCAGCTAGCCCTGGGGATTATCTAATTGATTTTTGATTTTTATTGGTATTCGTGTTTTTATACTGTATTTTATGCTGCTTTTAGTTTCCTGCTTGGCAGGGGGTTGGACTCGATGGCCCTTGTGGTCTCTTCCAACTCTATGATTCTATTAATTTGTTGTTAGCCGCCCTGAGCCCGGTTTTTGAACCGGGAAGGGCAGGGTATAAATAAAAAAATATTATTATTATATTATTATTATTATCATCATCATTATCATCATCATCACCAACTGAGCTATGTCAAGCGCAGAGGCATTTGTGGAATTTATTATAAGAGGGTATTGGCTATGGCCAAGATTTCACGTGGCCCATGTAGGGGGGGAAAACAGAGTCCGCTGTACCTAGGAGATCAGGAGAGTTTCAAAATAAGCAAAACACACACACCCTCCTGCCCCCAAAGCCTACTGCAATCCTGGACTTACACATATGCAGGATCTTGCTCCATCTGCAGCACTGAAAGTACAATTGAGTGACCGTTAGTTCAAAGGCCATGCACATCATCAAGATAAAATTCAGAAGACTGTGCTGAGGTTTCCCCTCCAAATCCCAGTGGTGCTGGGACCAAAGTTTATGGCAGAGAATGGAGAGATGAGTTAATCCAACGAGCCCTTGCACCCAGGGTGAGGAAACAAGATGGCTTTGCTCTTGGCAAGGGAGAGGGGACAGGGCAGGGCGGTGAGAGAGTTGGGGCCATGCTTCTCTTGCGCAGAAGGATTCTGCTTCAGGATGATCGTGGCTCATTCTCCTCCCATGTTCAGTGGCAGCGGCGCTGGAAGGGGGAAAACGGGACACTCTCGGATGAAATCAGAAGCTGGGATAGCTTCTGTAATTCTGTGCATGTTCAGGGGAAATAGGGACATTCGACAGGTATGGTACTGTTGACTCATGAAACAGCAAGGCTCCATTTATGGGGAAAGGGATTCCCTTCATGGGTATTCCATCTTCTGATTGTACACACCCCAGTTTTGGACAAATCCTGGCCTCTTGTAGTCTCTTGGAAACAGTGGCCAAAGGGGGCTGGATCCCCTCTAGCTCTCTGAAATTCACCCAGCACCAGTCAGTGCTCAAATCACATCATCCGTTTCCTTTACCTTCGATATGCTGAAGTAGCGCACTTACCTTTTTCAATATTTTGATACCTGGGCTCAGGGCAGGCTTCTGAAAAGAAAAACCATGACTGGGTGTGATGAAGTCCTGCCTGTTTCTGCCTGTGTTTGGCACGTGTTCATTCATAATTCCATCTTGCCCCATTTCAACATTTATTTTTAAATCTACATGATATGAATACTATTTAAACACACATTATTCTGGCACAATGTACTGACAAATGTATTTTATGTGAATGCGTGCATTTGTCAACATTTTGTTTATCCTTTGAGATCCACTTGGGTACTTCAGTACTAAAAGAAAAGAAAGAAAGGCAAAATATGGAAAGTGCAAAATCTGAAGAATGGTTCTATTCAATTCTGAACATTAATCCCCAAAGTCAGTGAGATCTGTGGGTCTTTCTTCCTCCCAGACCTTTTTTAAAAAAAAATCTGGACCAACAGGCTGTTGAGTGATTTCGAGTTTGAGTGGAGCTTGTCAAGCACTAAAACTGCTTGGACATTTGCAAAGCAATAAGCAGGGGCAGGGATGGTTTCAAATTAGAGGGGCATTATTGGTGTGTTGACATTCCTGCATTGAAGAGGGTTGGATTAGATCAGTGTTTCCCAACCGGTGTTCCGCGGCACACTAGTGTGCCGCGAGATGTTGCCTGGTGTGCTGCGAGCGAGTCCAAAAAAGGTTGGGAAACACTGGTTTCTCTTTCAAAAAGGAAACGTGGGTTAAAGCGGCGACGCCGCCTCCCACTCACTTTCCTGCTCTGGCTTCCCTAACAGTTTTCCGAGTTGCGTCACTGGATCCAGCCCCCTTTTCCACATGTGACACGGGGCTGGAGGGAGGGAAAGAGGGCTTTACGTCGCGCACAAAGGCAGCCTCCTAGAAGCGCTCTGGGCTGGCGCCGTTTCGCCGAAGGCGCCGGAGGACCCCCACCCTCAGCTCCTTCAGAAAGGAAGCCCCGCCCCTCGGCTCTCTACGCCGCCAGGCAGCTCAGCTGACTGACGAGGACGTTCTGCGGCGGCGGCCCCTGCACAACCACCGCAGTTGCTGGCAGCGTCCGCAGCGCAATAAGTAACAGCGCCTGGTGCTGCCAACTCTTTCTCTCTCTCTCCCGCCCCGCCCCCAAGCTCTCGCGCGCCCCGCGTCAACATCGCCGCGCGCAGCTTCCCGAGCTCAAGGCCAGCCGCTGCACGCACGCGCCGGCTCGTCATCGCTCCGGTTGTTGCCTTTCTCCGCCGAGGTCGGTGGACCCCGAGCCTAGGCTTCCTTCCCGCACCCCGCTTTCCGAAGACCACACACCAGTTGGGCCAGTACATATTCCCCTCCCGTGACTGGAGCGGAATAGCCCTTTCTCTTCTTCCCCAACCCTTGTCGTTGGAGGAGTCCCTCAGTCCCTCGCTTTGCTGCCTCCTCCCCACCCCCACCCCCAAAGCTTGGAGGTTCCCCGGCAAGGGGGAGGGAAAAAAATTGAAAGTTACACTTTCGTGCGTCCCTCCCGGCGTGACGCTGCGCGCTGACGTCACGGGGCTGTAATGGTGGTGTGCCTCGAGATTTTTTTCATCAAACAAGTGTGCCTTTGCACAAAAAAGGTTGGGAAACACTGGATTAGATGACTCTCAGGGTCCCTTCCAACTCTACAAATCTATAATGAGAAATCAAAAAAGAGTTTTGTTCCCCATCACTTCCCCAACAAGCTAAATTCGAAAGGCTACAACGCCGCCACCCTCCTGAGGGTATCGTGGAGAACGAGTTGGGGAGGGAAGTGTTCCCTCTCTGACCCCAGAAATATCTGCCAGCCACGGGTCGCTCTCTTCAGAGGCTGCTCTGTGAGGTCTCCCCAGTACAGGCCTGGGAAACCTGTGGCCCTCCAGATGTTAGGATCATAGAATCGGAAAGGACCCAGTGGAAAATCTAGTCCAGCACCCTGTAATCAATCATCATCATCATAATTATTATTATTTGTATCCCGCCCTCCCTGGGCAAAGCCGGGCTCGGAGCGGCTAACAACAGGTAAAAATAGCAGAGTGTACATAAAACCGCACAGTCAATTAATTAAAATACATTCTATAATCAATTCAGAATCAAATTAATGGCAACCATGGGGTTCTATGAAGATTACAGAAGGAGAGAGGGGGTCAGACTGTGCCTTGGCCGAGGCAGGAATATGTAGCTGTCTCTTCTGGGGATCAAACCTGCAACCTTGGGGTTATTGGCACCATGTTCTAACCAACTCCATCTCCCATCAGGCATCTTGCCCAATATTCAGGGATGGTGGGAATTACGGTCTAGCAACATCAGCCCTATTTAGGAAAGTTTTTAATGTTTGATTCTATTTTTGATATTCTGTTGGGAGCCGCCTAGTGTGGCTGGGGAAATTATTATTATTATTATTTGGAGAGCCACAAGCTCATTGCCCCTGCAGATTTGCTTCAGGCAACATTCAAGGTCTATGATGAATATTCCTGAACATAATCCTCAATTTTGATGTATATTCTCTACTGATTTGCAATGAAAACCACTGCTTGCTTCCAGAGGTAGCATTCCCCAAGTGATGTGGATGCTGGTTTCAGCCACTCCTCCTGGGGCTTCTCTATACAGTGGTACCTCAGGTTAAGTACTTAATTTGTTCTGGAAGTCCGTTCTTAACCTGAAACTGTTCTTAACCTGAAGCACCACTTTAGCTAATGGGGCCTCCTGCTGCCGCTGCACCACCAGAGCACGATTTCTGTTCCTGAAGCAACGTTATTAACCTGAAAAGCACTATTTCTGGGTTAGCAGAGTCTGTAACCTGAAGCGTATGTAAGCCGAGGTACCACTGTATCATTTAACCAGTTTTTCCTCCTCACCCTTTGCGAACCACAATTCCCAGGATTCTTTGGGGGAAGCCATGCCTGCCCAAAGTGGTGTGATACTGCTTTAAATGTCTGGTGCAGAGGTCACAAAAACAGGCTTTTCATGTGGCCTGTTTCACAGAAACACGCCAGCATCATGGACACGACGCTATCAGACTTACACACTTTAAAATCCCCATCAGTTCCAGTGAGAGAATATTGAAGCCTATGCCTGAGTTTAGTCTGGCTCATGGGGCCTTTTCAGGTCCTGTTAAATGAGTAAGAATACTTACGAAGGTGACTTGGAAGGGGCGGATGTTTGCTTCTTGTGCTAAAATATAGAGGGACATATTTAGAAACGGAGGAAGAATACGAGAAAGCAAGGAATGCTAGATCGTGGTGTGCCCAAGCCTACCCAATTGCTTAGACTGAGTGCTTGGTCAGGCAGATGGTAACTGGACACAGGACCTTTTCAGCAGTGGCACCTGGTTTCTAAATTAAGGTTACTAGATTTTTTTCAAAGAATCCGGGGATACTTAAAAAAAAAAAAGAGGAAAAAAAGTTATTAAAAAAGGTTTTGTTTTTTAAAAAAGAAGTAATATCTTCTCTTCTGTGGGCAGTTGGCCGGGTGGCTGGGCGCTCTTGCTCCCGGCTTGATTTGGGTTGCGGGGGGTTCAGCAGTTCTCCCAGTTGACATGCCGGGCGTCCCCAGTTCCCCCTTGGCAGCGGCAGTCTCAGCAGCCCGGAGCCAGCCTGGTAGTGCAGTTGGCTCTGGCTGGCTTCAGGAGCTGCTCGCTGCCGTGGCGCCCGCCATTTTGCCTCGCCATAAGTCCCCATATGATGTGTCTTCTGCCATTGAACCAATCGCACAACATTCATTCCCTCCTAATAAATCTACAACACTTAAAATATAAATCCAGGGACATTAAATGAAATCCGGGGACATTCTGGGGACGGATTTTGTCCAGGGACAGATTTGTAAATCTGGGGACTGTCCCCGGGAAACGGGGGCGTCTGGTAACCATATTCTAAATGGGGGGGAGGGGGGAGGAGAGAACCATATTCAATACCCTAAGCGCCTACTGAGGTAAAAATGAAATAAATGCATCAGGCTGATGGAGGACGGTCTCCTACAGAGGCTGCCAAAGCAGCCCGACGTACCTTCGTCCTGGCATGTCACATGGGATTTTTGGACAGTCATGTCTTGACACTGAAATCAGAGAGGAGAGAGAGAGACAACAAGTAGTCACGCCTTTGGAGGGGAAAGATTCAAATGCTACTAACTACATCAATGCAGAAATGTCGTTTCTGCTACCGCCAAAAGAAGGAGGTGATGCCTGGGACTGGTTGGATGCAGAGGGATGGTGAATGGAACCAGCTGGGAATTCCCCAGGGGAAGAAGGCTCAGAGCCCGGGGAATGGTGGTGGGACAGGGGAGAAGACTTGGAAGAGGAGGTGTCAGAAGCTGAAGAGGTAACAGGGCTTAGTGAGCGGGGAGAGTCTGTGGCAGAGAGCAGTGCAGAATCGGAGGCAGAATCAGAGATGGGCCAAGAGGCAGAGATGAGTCAGGCTGGTGAAGAACCACAGGCAGGGCCGGATTTAGGTTTGATGAGGCCCTAAGTTACTGAAGGTTGTGGGGCCCTTTATATGTCCAGCTGACCTTCGTCAACAACAAATTGTTGCTGTTTTTTGTGTTGAATATATGCTATGTGGTAATTTATGGACCTAATAGGTATCTAAAGCCATTTGTACATAACAAAATATGTATTTTATCAAAATAATTGTTGAACTTATATTTTGGAAATGTACATCCAGGTTATTTTTCCTTTAATTTTTTGGGGGCTCCCAAGAGAGTGGGCCCTAAGCTATAGCTTGTTTAGCTTATACATAAATTCAGCACTAATCACAGGCGTCTCCCCCTCCTGCTGTGACCAGCTTCATTCCGCCCTTGCATCCCAGAACCAGAAGAGGCATGAAAAGGGCGGAGGAGGGCTTGGCTGTACGCAGGCACAGTCTCCAAATGCTTGGAACAAACCCTTGAGAGATGAGGAGCTTGTCGCAGCAGGAGCGGGAGAAACTCATGACTCTTCACCAGCCCAACTCATCTCCGCTTCTCGGCCTCCCTCCTTCTACTCTCCTGCTTCAGCTTCTGCCGCTGATTCTGGACTTCTCTCCATCACAGACAGAGAAGTGGAGACAACCACCCAATGGTAAACTCTCTAATCCTGGGCTAAGCTGGCTAACTGCATCATCCTTCAAAACGGAACATGGTTTCCAAAGACCACATATCAGGTGCAACGCACAATCACCTATATGGATCCACTTTGGCCATAGCAAACAGTGGGAGTTAACTCAAAAGAACACACTTACACCTCTCTCACCACCGAAGAAATAGCAGAGAACCTACACAAGCGACGCTGACACAAAACCCCACATAGTAAGTAAAATAGAAAATTGCCACCTGACCCCACCCCCACTCACCTTTCCCCCCTCCAACTTTCCCCCCTTTTCTTCCTAATGTCTCAACAAATGAAACTGATCTGTAAAAAATGTTACTTGAAAAAAGAGAGAGAGAGAGAGACATTGCACATAGTTTTGAAAACCAAGAAAATATTGAATAATAAAAAAAACCAAAAAGGGGGGAAAAGAACACACTTACTCGAATGGGAGCGGACCGCCTCAAACCTTTGCTGCTCTCCATAACTGAAAAGATACGGGGAGAATCTTTGGTGTTTAGTTTTCAACATTTTGCTGCCAAGGACTGCATTCCCTACATTATGTGCAAAGATGTGGGAGAAATTCAACTTAAAGTTGACAGAATATGCACAACTTGCAGACTTAACATATAGAATAAGAGAACAAGAAGTACATACGTTTAAAGAAGACTGGAAAACGTTTATTGAATATATGGAAAATAATTGAGTACAGCTGAAAACGCTGGCAGCTTTAAGATAAATTTGACAGCGTAAATGATTTTTGATGGATGCAATAATGGAAAACCGCTTCATATAGTTTTTGTAAAATATGCAGGGATATAAGATATGCAAAATGAACCATGGAAAGAGAAGAAGGGTAGTCATTGATATCTTAAGTATGTAAAATGTTTACCTGAAATTGTAAAACAGAAAATTTAATAAAAATCATATTTAAAAAAATGTGGAAGAAATTCAGTTCAGTTCATGTTTAAAGGCAAATCTATCAAATTCACACTTTCAGAAAAATATGATTATTCCTGCATTGCAAATCACCCTTGGGATGCCTTTCAACTCAACAATTTGATGCTTCTATGAGAATTGAAACACAGCCATCCTTTGAAATTCCTATTTATCCAAATTTTGCAAATGCAGTTCTCTCACAAATGTCTACACATGATATTAGGGGGAGATGTGCTTAGCAATTAGCATATTATTGGAAATAACATAAAAAATGTGCCACATTAGGATAAACTGCTTGCAAAGGCGTATTCGTTAGGAAAAATTCATAACAAAATTCTGAAGAAAAGATCGCAAATTCCTGCAGAAATTTGGAGAAATGGTTAAGGTTGGAAAAAAGGAGAAACCGAGAGAGCCAGCAGTAGCCAGGGACAAGCCAAAAGTGGGCAGCTCACCCCTTCTCTCTCTGCCACCCAACTCTCTCCACCTAAACCAACATGAAATTAGGCAGCATGCCAGCTATGGCTTTTAAGACACCAGTTTGCCCATCCCTGGCCATTGGCCACATGAGCTGGAGTCCGATAGTAAGGCCACAGGCTTCCCCATCCCTGAATGAGAGAAAGCAGAGCCGACCTCAGTTACAGAGTAGACTGCTGCAATGCGCCCTCTGTGGGGCTGCCCTTGGAGACTGTTTGAAAATGCCAACTAGTGCAGGATATGGAACACTAATGTTGGAACTCAAAGCACACATTGCACCAATTCTGTGCTGTTTGCATTGCCTACCAATTCGCTTCCACACAGAATTTATGACACTGCTTTGGGACTCCTTCAGATTGGTGTTTTGCTGCAAAATAATAATAATAATAATAATAATAATACCCCACCCAAAAGGGCCGCGGGTGGTGCTGTGAGTTAAACCACAGAGCCTAGGACTTGCCAATCAGAAGGTCGGCGGTTCGAATCCCCGCGACGGGGATGCTTGGTCCCTTCTCCTGCCAACCTAGCAGTTCGAAAACACATCAAAGTGTAAGTAGATAAATAGGTACCACTCCAGCAGGAAGGTAAACGGCGTTTCCATGCGCTGCTCTGGTTCGCCAGAAGAGGCTTAGTCATGCTGGCCACATGACCCGGAAGCTGTACGCCGGCTCCCTCAGCCAATAAAGCGAATTGAGCGCCACAACCCAAGAGTCGGCCACAACTGGACCTAATGGTCAAGGGTCCCTTTACCTTTACCTTTATACCCCACCCATCTGGCTGGGTTTCCCCAGCCACTCTGGGTGGCTTCCAACAAAATATTAAAATACAATAATTAATCAAATATTAAAAGCTTCCCTAAACAGGGCTGCCTTCAGATGTCTTCTGAAAGTCAGATAGTTGTTTATTTCTTTGACATCTGATGTCCTTGATGCAATAATAGCACATTAGTTGTGGGTTGTACTGGAACTTCCAGACATCATTCTGCTTCTTTAGCTGTTCTGGGATGCTTCTGTAATGTCACTGAATTATTGCCATCTGGAGGAGCCCTCTTGCATCATAGTACAACAACAACAAAAATCCGAAACATTTCCGATATTTAATTTATATGCCGCTGGTTTGTAATAAAACCTCTTTAAGCATTCTGTGTTTGGTTAATCTGCTGCTTCCCTGAGGGCCCTGTTACTGTTCCTCAGCTTGGGGATGGTTTTAGTAAACTGTTTGATTTTATTAAACTTTTTTACATGCCGACTTGGGAGAGCTAAGGCAGGTGTAATGGTTCTAGGGGTTGCTCGTGCGAAAGCCGGTGCCCACACCTGGCTGGGTTGCCTAAGTGAACCTTTCCTGTCCGGAGAGCCACTCACCCGTGGCTGTCCCAATCGCTGGCAGAATCCGTCAGTGGGCGTTTCTTAAACTTCTTCCAACAAAGAAGTTCTTTCACGCCCAGTCTCCTCCTACTTTCCCTGCGCGGAAGCCTTCTGTGCAAGGAGGGCGTAGGCAGCGGAGGACCCTTCCTCCCCCCGCTGGTCCCCGGCAAGGAGTCATGTGACCCCCTCTCAGATTCCCCCATCTGCCCCCCTTCTCCACTGGAGCTAAGCTGATTCCCCCCCTTCCCCAGAAGATGGACTGCCTCTCCCAATCCCAGGACGCTCTCTGGGATCCCTCTGGACTGGAGCTTGCTCTCTGCCTCCAGCACTGATGGCAGTTCCCTGACAGCAGGGTAGAAAACTCTGGCCCAAAACCTGTGCTGCCTTGCAGCTATGCTCATTTGTGAGAAAGGCTTTCTTGAGGAACAATCTGTACCTGCTGCCTTGTGGGATATCTTTGGGAAAATAAAAGTTTAAGGAGTAAATTTGGAGTGGATGGCATCTTGTGCGCCCCCTTCTGGCAACTCCTGCAGTCAATATGGTGCCAAACATATTGCTCTGCTTTCCTTTGGACCACATCAGTGAGGCCAAGAGGAGGGTCTTGTTGTCTGGGCAGCCCAGGACCTCCATACACACTGCCCAGGCTTACACCCCAGAGAGAAATAAGAGAATCAGACATGCAATGGTGATCAGCTACTTACTGATTCCTCTGACTGTCCAGGCCTGTCTGCTCCTGTCTCCCTCCTACAAGGAAGAGAGAGAGAAACACAAACATTTGTGAGCTAAAATTATACAAAAGGTGGGAGTGGGGAAAACTAACATAGCATGGTCCAGAACAAAAAGTTGTCATTTGTCAAGAGAAGATGAAAAGGGGGAAATCAGGGTCATTCTAAGGTTGTGTGTGGTAGGTGCATTTGCAGAGCGTGTTTGGCAGGGCAGTATCATTGTGCCCATTTTACAGATATGCAAAACTGAGGCTGAGCAACAGTGGTTTCGTCAACACATATGCTTAAGGTGTCTAATCCTGCGCACTATCAGCTTTCCAACTGCCCCATTTCCCAATAATTGTGTCCAACTACACACCCAAAAGTGGGTGTGCTGTGGGTAAAAGCCTCAGCGCCTAGGGCTTGCCGATCGAAAGGTCGGCGGTTCGAATCCCCGCGGCGGGGTGTGCTCCCGTTGCTAGGTCCCAGCGCCTGCCAACCTAGCAGTTCGAAAGCACCCCCGGGTGCAAGTAGATAAATAGGGACTGCTTACTAGCGGGAAGGTAAACGGCGTTTCCGTGTGCGGCTCTGGCTTGCCAGAGCAGAGATGTCACGCTGGCCACGTGACCCGGAAGTGTCTCCGGACAGCGCTGGCCCCCGGCCTCTTGAGTGAGATGGGCGCACAACCCTAGAGTCTGTCAAGACTGGCCCGTACCCTGGCAGGGTACCTTTACCTTTACCTTTACACACCCAAAAAAACCTTTAACGTTCTCTTTGTGGCCATAGAGGAGGCCCATTTTTCACAATGTGTTGGGGACTTATATTAAGAGGGGAAAGCCTCTAAACATGGTTCCAGATCCGTGTTTCAAAGGAAAGCCTTACCTGTCCGCTGGCATTTCATGCACATGCTGACCAAAGCTCCTAAGAACATCAAGGAGAAGGCGCCCCAGATCAGCTCCACTTGGCTCATAGCTCGATCTTGCCGCAACTACAACCTTGGAAATGCAAGAACAAAGTGGGTGGACAGCTCAAACCACAACACATTTATCTCCCCCACTCCAGCTGCACGGAAGCAGGTGAAGACTACCATACCCTCCAACATTTCTCCAATGAAAATAGAGACTTTCCATTCCATAATTATGTTTTTTTTTTCTATTTATACCCCCCCGCATCTTACTGGGTTGCCCCAGTCACTCTGTCCGGCTTCCAACATATATAAAAACGTAATAAAACATTAAACTTTTTTTTTTTAAACCCTTCTCTATTCAAGATTGCCTTCAGACGAATCGGGGTCAGATAACTCCAAACCCTCCAACATTTCTCCAATGAAAATAGGGACATTCTAAGGTAAAGCAGGACATTCCGGAATCAAAAGAGAACTTGGGATGGCTTCTCTAAATCAGGGATGTCCTGGGAAAATAGGGACACTTGGAGGGTCTGGACTATGCCTGTGTGTAATCTTCTGCTCCTCTCACTTCAACCCTCTGCTGGTCCTGGGAGACAGTGGAGCAGGAGGAGGAGGTAAGGAAGCCCTTGACTCTCCACCAGCCTGACCTCTCTCTCCCTTCTCCTGCCTCTGACTCTTGGGTTCCCCCAAGGAATCCTGGGAGCTGTAGTTTGTTAAAGACACTGGGAATTTTAACACTGTGAAGGGGTAAACGACAGTTCCCAGGATTCTCTGGGGGGAGTCATAAGCTATAAACGTGCATTAAATTATGCTTTCAGTGTAGGGTGTGGAACCACCCTTTGCAATACACATTACTACCTAAAGAGGGAGGTCTCCCCCCCCATGGCCTTCACGCCCGGAGTCAAACGCTACCCAAACGCATCACATTCCCACCCCGATCGAACGCCTGTCTGATGACATTTGAGTGCTCGGCTTGGATATTTGAAGGGAACAAAGCAACTCACGAGGCCTTGGCTCACCAAGCAAGGAGGAAAAGCTGGAGACTCTTGCTCAGACAACTTCTCGTGCTGCCGTTGGAAAGTCTAGAATCATAGGCCTGGGGTGACCGGAAACATTGAGAGCCAGCCCTCATGGGATGCTGATCACTGGATCCCTCTAGCTCATAGAATCATGGAGATGCAAGAGATCTGGGTCGTCTAGTCCAACCCCCTGTAATCTCAACATGAGGTCTCCCATCCAATTTGAAACCATACCAGACTCTGCTTCGCTTTGCAAGTGTGCTAGCAGTTTTACGGCTGCACCACTAGGAGCTAGTGTCATCTAAGCTGACTGGCAACAGCTTTCCTGGATTTCAGATGGAGATGTTCTCAGGCCTGACTGGAGATACTGGGGTCTGCTCTCCTGCTGAGTCTGCAGCCAGTCCTTCCCTCAGCCCCAATCCTCCCTAACCCCACCAGTACAAGAAAAGACTAATAGGTTTCAACAGTTGAATAAAATAAAAAAACGGGAGAAGCAGTTGCTGTCTCCTGGAGATGTAACCACTGACGTGGTTTGCAGACTAAATCCAACATCTCTTCCTCTGCCTCTCCTCTGTTGCTCACCTGGAATTGTCCCCTAATTTACCTGAGCAACGCTGCATCCCTGACATCCATCCATCCCCTTCTTCAGAACCCACCTTTCCTGAGTGACTTTTGCTACAGCTCCTTCACGCCTAAATCCAGCCAGAGTACATGCACCTTAGATAAAGCCAGAAGCTGGTGGGAATTGTAGCGCAAAATGTCCAAGGGCACCAGGTTGGTGGAGGTCAGCTGATAGTGTCCCGGGATAGGGAATGGCCTGGTTATTGGACACAAGCCAGAAGAGGAGCCCTCGTGCTAGGAGGGAAGGGTGTGCGCCATTATATGGCACCTTTTTGTTGCGATTTCCACCTTGTAACGAATAAAGGCTCAGCAAGGTGGCACATTTTTTGATTTTAACTGCCTAACGGATAGCCTCACATCTAAGTTCAGTTTTCACAAGGAAAGAAGGAGAGAGATTCAAGGATATTGTAGGCTGGCGGTAGAGAGAGAGACATTAATGGGATAGAAGGAGAGCAAGGGCGAGAACCTAAGATAGCTAGATAGATGATAGCTAGATAATTTATTACGGTCGGAGACCAGCTTATAACACACTTGGGGGTACAGTCACAGAAGGAAAACAAACAATTAAAACAATGTACAACAATAAATTTAAAATTTATAAATGCAATAAGCGTATAGACACTTAAAACTTTAAGATAAACTACGGCAGGGAGTTGACCCAGAGTCACCCATGGAACCGAGTTTGGGGATTTTCTTAACGAACTAGTTTGAGTCAGGAGATGGTCTGCGCCTACAGATCTGTACACAGAACCTGGCGACCATCCTAGAAGCTATTCATGCAGAGGAATGAAATAAGGTCTTAGCGGGTGACTGCCTGGACAGACAAATTAATACCCCTAAATTAGTCTTTCGCCCAAAAGATTCCTCCATTTCTCCAAGAACCCAGAAGTGAAGTGTCTGGAGTTGAGGAAGGAGGCGCAAAAGTGAGAAGGCACCTGAAGGCAGCCCTACCTTCTGGCTCCAGTTGTTCTCAGGAGCTGCAGCTGATCCTTTCCCCTCCGGCCATCTCCCCTTGCTCACTCTTCTCTGCAGAAAGAGCTGACCTCAATGTGGTCACTCGCTCACAGAGACAGTGAGCAGACCTCTTGCTTCCTGTTCCCCTATGTGAGTCACCAAACCCAGCATCCGGCAGCCAGGCTCGGACGCAGCCCTCTCATCAAACCACAAGACCAAAAGCAGAGTCGCGGGCTGGAACGCCTGCGCATCGCATTCAGGTCAACCGCTCAGCCAAACCTGGGAAAAGGCTGGCTTAAATCCTACAGGTTGACTTGGAGGAATATCGGAAGCTGCCTTCACAAGAGAGGCAGACCACCGGGGTCAGCTAGCTCAGTGCTGCCCACAATCATTGGTAGTGGCTCTACGGGGTTTTGGGCAAGTCAACCTGGATAGCTCAGTTCATTAGAGCATGGTTCGGGGTTTGGACTGGGTGTCCATCAATATGCAGATGATACCCAGGTCTACCTCTCTTTCAAATCGGAACCAGTGAAGGCGGTGAAGGTCCTGTGTGAGTGCCTGGAGGCGGTTGGAGGATGGATGGCGGCTAATGGATTGAGGTTGAATCCTGACAAGACAGAAGTACTGTTTCGGGGGGACAGGAGGCTGGCGGGTAAGGAAGACTCCCTGGTCCTGAATGGGGTAACTGTGCCCTTGAAGGACCAGGAGCGCAGCCTGGGAGTCATTTTGGACTCACAGCTGTCCATGGAGGCGCAGGTTAATTCTGTGTCCAGGGCAGCTGTCTACCAGCTCCATCTGGTACGCAGGCGCTAAGACCCTACCTGCCCGCAGCCTGTCTCACCAGAGTGGTGCATGCTCTAGTTATCTCCCGCTTGGACTACTGCACTGCGCTCTACATGGGGCTACCTTTGAAGGTGACCCGGAAACTACAACCAATCCAGAATGCAGCAGCTAGACTGGTGACTGGGAGTGGCCGCTGAGACCACATAACACCAGTCTTGAAAGACCTACATTGGCTCCCAGTATGTTTCCGAGCACAATTCAAAGTGTTGGTGCTGACCTTTAAAGCCCTAAATGGCCTCGGCCCAGTAGACCTGAAGGAGCGTCTCCACCCCCATCGTTCTGCCTGGACGCTGAGGTCCAGCGCCGAGGGCCTTCTGGCGGTTCCCTCATTGCGGGAAGCAAAGCTACAGGGAACCAGGCAGAGGGCCTTCTTGGTAGTGGCACCCGCCCTGTGGAACGCCCTCCCACCAGATGTCAAAGAGATAAACAACTACCTGACATTCAGAAGACATCTGAAGGCAGCCCTGTTTAGGGAAGTTTTTAATGTGTGACATTTTAGTGTATTTTTTGTCTTCGTTGGAAGCCACCAGAGTGGCTGGATAAACCCAGCCAGATGGGTGGGGCACAAATAAATAATAATAATAATAATAATAATAATAATAATAATAATAATAATTATTATTATTATTATTATTATGGCTGATAATGCCAAGGTTGCAGGTTCGATCCCTGTATGGGACAGCTGCATAATTCCTGCATTGCAGGGGGTTGGGCTGATCCTCAAGGTCCCTTCCAACTCTATGAGTCTATGATCTTCCCTAGCCCTTTCTGGAAATTGAACCTGGGACCTTTCCATGCAGAGCGTGCACTGAGCTACAAGCCCCTCCCCTAATAATAAAGCGACTTTCCAATCCTCGTGGTTTTGAATGACCGAGAATCATAGAACTATAGAGTCAAAAGTGAACCTGAGGGTCAAACCTCCTGCAGTGCAGAAATCACAGCTAAAAAACTCCCTGGCAGATGGCCGTGCAACCTCTGCTTAAAAACCTCCAAGGAAGGAGACCCCCACCATCTTCCGAGGCAGTTCATTCCACTGTTGAAGAGCTCTTACCATCAGAATCTTCCTGATGCTCAGTCGGATTCTGCTTTCTTGTCATTTGAATTCGTTGGTTCAGGAGAAAAGGAGCAGGAGAAAAACAAGCTTGCTCCATCTTCCACAGAACAGCCTTTCAGATACTTGAAGATGGCGACTGTATCTCCTCTCAGCCTCCTCTTTCCGAGGCTAAACAAATATACCCAACACTCTGCAACTAGGCTTGGTTTCCAGACCCTTGATCAACCCATTAAAAAAAAAATTACAGTGGTACCTTGGTTTACAAACTTCATCCGTTCTGGAAGTCCGTTCTTAAACCAAAGCATTCTTAAACCAAGGCATGCTTTCCCATAGCAGTGGGGGACTCAGTTTACAAATGGGACACACTCAACAGGAAACGGACCATGTTCTGCTTCCAAGACAAAGTTCACAAACCAAAACACCTACTTCCAGGTTTGCAGTGTTCTTAATCCAAGTTGTTCATAAACTAAGCTGTTCTTAAACCAAGGTACCACTGTATAGTGGTACCTCGGGTTAAGTACTTAATTCTTTCCAGAGGTCCGTTCTTAACCTGAAACTGTTCTTAACCTGAGGTACCACTTTAGCTAATGGGGCCTCCCGCTGCCGCCGCACAATTTCTGTTCTTATCCTGAAGCAAAGTTCTTAACCCGAGGTACTATTTCTGGGTTAGCGGAGTCTGTAACCTGAAGTGTATGTAACCTGAAGCGTATGTAACCCGAGGTACCACTGTATTTCATTTCACCAACAAATCTCTTTCCAAGAAACATCACAAGCTGATTTGACAATAATAATGTTCAAAAATGATAATGTACACAAAAACTAATTTCAAATGCAAGACAGGTAACAGACTGGGATAAAGGTCTCCACCGAAAAGGATGCTTGATAGGCACCAAAAAGGCAATAGAGAAGACAACAATCTGATATGTAAGGGGAAGAAGTTTCAAAGGGGGGGTGCCACCACAGTAGAGGCCCAGCAGTCCGCAATGTGCCACTTTTGCTATACAACACAATAGCTGTAACTCAGTGGTCGAGAGAGCACATGGCTTTGAATTCAGAAAATTCCAGGATTGATCCTCGGCCTCTCTAGCTAAGGCGATCAGAGAACCAGGAGAGCTGCTGTCAGTCAGATCAGACAATATGGAGATGGATCTGATCTGATAAAAGGGAGATACAGGCCTAAGATTCCAGGGAGAAACATCCCATGGGATGTTTATAAAAAATATGTTCAAAAATACAATAATAGTTTTGACTCTGTGCTAGCATTCGAGTGATAAAGGAAGTAAAAGGAGGTGGACTACAATTAAGGATTTATTATGTTTTCAGAATGTATTAGAAAAATTATATAGAAAGGTTTATTGTTTTGTGCACATTCGAATGTAAGATAAAACATATGCAAAGGGACTTGACAGGAAGTCAAAGTTGAAGAAAAGACTTTGGAATATAAAAAGGGAAAAAATATTTACTTTCATTATTATCATTTCTGTGCGGGTGTGGGTGTGTTGGTGTCTGCACATATGTGTTGTTGTATGCAATGTTTGGGAGGAAATAAGATGGTAAATAACAAATAACAAACTAAATATTGATGTATGTAATTTTTATTTCTTAATTATATTTAGTAGTAGTATGGCTGTATTGTTTTTTGTAACATAAAACCATTCAATTATATATATAGAGAAACGCCAGAAGCCCAGCCACCCTCCACAACAACCCATGAAACAAACAGTACATAACATATCAGACAGGATCCTCACCTCAACTGAAACCAAAGTACTCTCCAAAGGTTTCAACTTTGCAGTCGCCCCGAGACGCATCCCCACGGAAAACATCATATGCGGAGTCGAAGCTAGCCTAACCAAAATCAACCCAGATGAAGCCAATAAAATCAGACTTGAAGTCACCAACATCCTCTGCTCCAGCAAACCACCCAGAAGCAATTTACACAAAGAAGAACAGAAAGCACTCACCAACCTGAGGAAAGACAACAACATAATCATTCTCCCAGCAGACAAAGGTAATGCCACTGTTGTGATGAACACATCGGACTACCAAGCAAAACTATCAAATCTACTCCAAGACCCTACCTACCAACCTATAAGAACAGATCCCACCACCTATCTGGAAAAAACCACCAAATCCAAAATAAAAGCCTCTCCTATCAGTGAAGAAATCCAGCTAAGAATCATCCCCAGAGAAAAATCATCCAGATGCCCCAAACTCTACGGCCTCCCCAAGATACACAAAGAAGGAACACCACTCAGACCAATAGTCAGCTCCATAGGCTCACCTCTACAAAATCTCGCTAAATTTCTCGCTAAGCAACTTCAGCCCTATGCAGAATCCATCCCTTCACACGTTACAAACTCCTTCCAGTTCATAGAAACAATAAAGAAGCAAAACCTACATCCCAATGACCTACTTGTGAGCTTCGATGTTGTATCTCTCTTCACACAAGTGCCCATTAATGAAGCCTTGACAGCCATTCAAAACAAATACAATCCCCCCGAATACATCCTGGACCTGACCAACCACTGCCTAACCAACACGTACTTCATCCACAATGGACAAAGATACAAACAGATAGAAGGAGCACCTATGGGATCACCACTCTCACCAGTCATCGCAAACCTGTACATGGAACACTTTGAAACCAATGCTTTAGACAAGTCAGAACACAAACCCAAACTTTGGCTCAGATATGTTGACGACACCTTTGTAATTTGGCCACACGGGAAGGAAAAACTAGATAGCTTCCTCACACATCTCAACAGCCTACACCCCAAAATACAATTCACTATGGAAATAGAAGCCAACAACCAACTTCCCTTCCTTGACGTCCTAATCTACAAAAAACCTGATGGCTCCCTAGGACACACTATCTACCGGAAAAAAACACACACCAACCGCTACTTACATGCACAATCACACCACCACCCTGCACAAATAAACTCCGTAGCCAAGACTCTCATCTCCAGAACCAAACGCCTGGCTGACAAAGACCACTTGACAACTGAGTTACAGAATCTCTCCAATGTGTTAATCGCCAATGGATACCAGCAAAACAGGGTTACGAAGCTAATGCAAAAAGAAACACCCCCCAAAAACCAAGACACAGAAGAAAACAATGGCATGGCCCTCCTTCCTTATATCAAGGGCACTACAGATAAAATTAGCAAAATCCTCCATAAACACAATATCAAAACAGCCTTTTGCACCAACCAAAAAATAGCCAATATCCTCAGAAACCCCAAGGATAAAATCCAGTTGGAAAACCAAGGGGTCTATGAAATACCCTGCAAAGTCTGCCCAGCCACGTACATTGGACAAACAAACAGACGAATAAATGCACGTATCGCAGAACACAAGAATGCCGTCAAAAAAGAAGAAAAAACTTCCTCTCTTTTCCAACACATGAAAGAAACAGGACACGAAATTAATTTTGCAGATTCCAAATTGCTCTCTAACATGGAACATCACCACAAGAGAATAATCATGGAAGCCATCGAGATAGAGAAACACCCTCACAACATGAACAAGCGTGACGACACATCCCGCCTGCCAGACATCTGGAAA